ACTTAGCGTTATTTAAAATATCCTCTGTTCAGGATAGCAAGAATTTTTAAAATTAAAGAAAGTGTTAGAATCTGCCGATTTTTCTTGCAGTATAGCCTTCAAAAATGGGGATTGTATTATTAAGCTAGTGAACAAGGGGCAAAAATATATCTTCATAAAGAAGAGCTGTGTCGTGATGTACAAGAGAGAATAAGGAAGCTACCTCAGGATCTAGTTTCTTTATAATGTGAAGAGCCTAGGAGCTGCGCTGAAATTTTCTTTTGGATTTAATGCGAATTATACCAATTATATGTTTCAATTAGATCCTGATAGGTAGACATTGTTGAAATTCGTGTATTTACTACAAAATTTTTTTTTATGTTTCTACCTTTATCTTTCGTTTATTCATTTTAAGGATAAAGCGGGTATACCACCAATCTATTTAACGAAATGGTGGTTTGGCTGTTATCTTGACAGGGTTCCATTTCCTCTCGCGTTGCGGCTTTGGGATGTCTTTCTGTTAGAAGGAGATGCTGTTTTAATAGCAATGTCTTACAATATAATGAAAATGCATCAAAGTTGGTATTTCCTTATAATTTCATAGCAATTCAAGTGAAAGTGATATCTATCTTTGTATTTTAGTGGTGGAAGCTCAGAATAATGAAGTATTGTTTTTCTGTTTCTTCATCATGCTCTTTATTTTTACTTCAGCGGGCTGTGTGACTGTTGTCGCAATCCTCATCGCTGTCCTGGTTCAAAATTTTAAATTTGCTTGGAAAGAATAAGTTGCTTACGTGAATTGGTTGAGGATTCTTTCACGCAGTCGCTGCATATTTAAACTTTATGTTAGCTGTTCTCGACTATAATGGATGCTTTACAGGTTCAATTCGAAAACTACAAATTGAGAATTTTATGAATTATATTCAAACAACCTTAGCAGCAGATTTTGGATACTCTGATGAAGTTGTAATGCGCTCTTTGGAAGAGTGTTTGAGGCGGTTACGAGTAAGTAATAACAATAATGATAATAATAATTATTACTATATTTTCCGTTTTTTAATTATCTCAGAGTTCTTTCAATTTTTCTGTTCAGTGCTTTTTTCTGGGTGTTTGGGTTGGTTTGTTGTTCTTTTGAAGAAATTAAATTTTTCATACTGTCAGAAATTATTTGCATTCAGGTCAAACGCTCTTAACTATCGGGATTTGTACTGGGATTTGCTTAACTTTATTTGTATTACTTCTAAAAAGTTTTTATTTAAAAGATTTTTAGAATGATAGAATGGATTTACCCCCACCACCTGGTCCTCATGATCTTCCCGAAAGACCAACAAAACCTCTTGGGCCAGTTCTTACTCGATCAATGATTGATATTCGTCTAGATATTGCAGAAATTCAGAGTCGGCACTCTCGTGCAAACTGTAAGTGGTTATGTAGTGATTTAAACATAAATCTTTTCAGCAGTTTTCAGGAAAATGTTAATCTTCATTTGAAGGTTATATAAACTTCGATCTTTTTTTTAGCTGTGGCTGGTCGTTCAACTGGCATGACTTCACGCGGTCGAACTCCTCCTTCACCTACGCCAATTCGTGCAAAATTAAAAGTAGCTTTAGAAGCGCAAAAAGAAGAACTTGAAGTCCCGTCCAGTTCGTCAGCTAGCACGATAAAAAGCGCTAAGGATGTTCGGAGTGGAACACAGACACCTCTGCAGCACTCGTCTGCGTTTAACACAATGCAAGAAAAAAGACCTCTTTTAAGTCGTGAGGAAACTCCCACAGATGACCTCGTCAATCAACCTACTTCCAGCGTTATTGAGATTCCGGATATTTCTACGTTAAGTATACGCCGTGTATATGATTCTAGTAGGAGTGTTTCTCCGGCTACTGAAGTTGTGCCAGTTTCAACACAGAAGTCATCTTTAATGAATTCTCCCCGTAGTTTTGTTGCGGAATTGAAGACACAGTATGAGAAAAGTGCTATGATTTCTTCACGATATCCTCCTCCTTCACCGGAGCCTACTTTAGAAGACAGTTCGGGTGAGTTCTTTTCGTCTAAACCGACTTAATCTTGGCATCAAGCGAAGTTATGTAGCATGTATTTATACGTGACAATTTTTCCTTTTTTCAGACAAGGGAACTAAGTTCACTTATGGAAGTATGTAGCTGGAGTTTAGCTGGCACGGTTCCATTTTTTAAATGGAATCGTGTCAACTAAACTCTAGCTACATATTTCAATTATTTGTTGTCGAAGGAAAATAGAGTTTTTGTTAGTTCAATATTTTAGATTTTTATTTGTTTGGAAGTTTTTTAGTTCGTTTGGTGAGCGATAAACGAGATTCAGATTCAAATGACGTAGTGGAATTATCCAGAGGAACCCAGTTTAGAGGTTACAAGTTACCTCCAGATCCTCCAATCGATTACGACTTGTCACCTAGTCCTAAACGAGATGCTCCTCTCCCACCCAAATTCCCGATACATAGTAAGTATCAGGAAGCACCGTCAAAATCAAATCTTCCTTATACTGACCGGCACGCATCTTTTAAAAGACGGATGAATCCATCTCCACAGCAGGAATTCTGGTCCAGTGGAGGTCGAAGTGTGAACAGGCAAGCTGCACGGGGTTTTTCTTTCTAATGTGCTTTCCGAAGGCTTCTAAGGACATTAATTTGGGATTGTAAACCTAATAGTTAGCTTTCAGCCTGAAAGAAAACAACTGTAGATTAGTCATATTCGTGCTATTCTACTTCAATTGTTGAGCTAATAGTATTACCGGCTGAAGCATTTCACGTACGTGCAGCAGTCAAAACCGAAGTTGAAGTTTTTCGCGAAGAATCATAAGTGCTTTTTTAGAAATTATGCGAAAGAAAAAGAAGGTAGGAAAAACCTTACTAAATCCCAGTGCCAGAGTGTATACGACAACGTCGACGGCGTAACCGCTACTCCATCAGCGATACCTAGAACTCTGGAAAGTCCCACTGAAAGACAAGTTGACGCATACACTGTAAGGCCTGGGAAGGTTTTATATGGTCAAAAACTGAGCGATAAGCGTGCCGGTAATCAGTCGTATTCTGACTACTCTAACGTGCCTGGCGGGTCTCATTTTGGTCCTCAGATCTATGAGACTCGTTCAAAGCCTGAACCTCTTACTTATTATCGCCCTGAGCGCCGTTATGGTGTAGAGGTAAAACATAAGAAAGATTTTGTTTCATCTTATTGACTTCGTAAAACTGGGGATTTCGCTGAAATAACATTTTTTGAAAGAGCAGGTTTGCAGAGAAAGGTATTTTTGCTATAAGTTTGATATGACATGGGAGTTTTTTAATAAGCTGTTACACTGAAATCAGAAACGATAATTATTTATTGCTTTATAAGTTCGTCAGTTTTAGTCTCATGTATTTAATTTGGTCTATTAGCTAAATTAAAGACGAAGTGGCTTTGAATTATTATACTGAGTGGTTGTCGTAGTATTTGTAACAGTGATTTGTTTTTTCCTGATTTTAGATATTTTAGATTTTTTCTTGTATTTTGCCACGTTTCTTTTTTTCTTTTGGACAGTTCTGTAGGATATTTCACTTACACCTAAGGATTGTTTAAGTTGCTTCTGTTATTTACAATGTGTTTATTTGTTAGATTGATTTTAAGCGCTTACGAAAATTATATGAAGTTGCGTTTGTTTAAGAATGAAACGCGTGTGATACAAACTCCAAATCATGTGACATATGTTAGTGTTGGAGAGGAAGGAGCTAGGCCACTGAAAAAGCTACCACAGGGACGTTTCCCTGTAAGAAACGAAAATTTTTCACAGTATGTTGGATTAATCTTTTTGTATATTTTTTTTGATTTCCTAAACTTAGCCATAATAATTATTATATTTTGAAAAAATATAGTTTTTCTGAGAAAGTAAATCCTGGGCTGTTTTGTGGTTTAGTTATCAGCATTTGAGGAGTACGCCAAAAGTCGCATTTTTGTGCTTTAAAAACGTTAATAATTCTTGGTCGCATAAAGAAATAATTAGGCCAGGAATTTTCCAAGTTTGAAAGGAATGATTAAGCCAGGAATTGTCCAAGTTTGTGTTTTGAAATTTTATGTGGCATCTTGGGTGGTTTACACTGAATGTTTGCTTTTTTATTGAGATTTTTGATGTTCCTGTTGTTTTATGGATGAGTATGTTTCATAACCGCAATTCTTTTAGGTTTAACTATGTAGGGACTCGTTATCAAAACAACCAACGATACGGTGTTGGGGATGACAGACCATATCGTACAGTACCCATTGTGCAAACTACAAATTATTTGGGTTCTGGTATTAGAGGTGGAGAAGTGTATAATATAAAACCAAAATTGGTCACTTCGGAACGTTGCTATCCACCAAATAATGACCCAAAACCGCGTTATGCCACAAAAATGTCTCATCCTCCTCCATATTCGTCCGATATGTATAGTAACCGATCTTTACTATAATTTAATTGGCATTTATGTGTCTTTTTATTTTCAAGATTTCAATCTTACACTGAGAACAGAAGATTATTTTTCGTAGCAAAACTGTTTTAAGGCTTTGCTATGTAAGCAACACCTGTTAGAAACAAACTTTGTCATAGTTGATGTAACTTATAGCTGTCGTTTATAACACTCAAATTATTGTTGTGTTCCTGCTGTAGTTTTTAAAGTTAAGAATTTTTTATTGATCATAATTTTCTTTTTTTATAGCCGGGTTTACGAAAGGAAGAAAGGAAAATGATAAATAATAAAGCAAAGGTGCAATTTTTTTTT